GCAACTTTTATTCGTCTGCAACGGTATTGCGGTTATCAGTCGAAGCAAATAGGAAGGAGAAATAGAATTTCCCCAGAGAGTCAGGCATTCACCAATTACCTAAAGGGGGAATGTATACGTAGTTCTGCGATCGAAGCAATAATGGTATCCCTGCCATGATGGCTCCCATTGCTGGCTTGTCGCAGCCACTAAAAATCTATCACCTCGGTAACCACTAAGCAAGAGGGCAATATATCACATGTTCGCAAATTTAATGTGGAATCCACACCGCTATCTCCCGCGGATCTCCAGCAGCATATATGTAACAAATATAGATAACGTTTGGCGTTGCACAGTCGAAATTTTAGCTATGCCTAAATGATCTACAAGTACAAAAATGAAGAAACGCTATTGGCTAGATTAAGTTCCTACTTAATTAAGGCCGTAATTTCGTGAGCCTGTCCTCTAACAGACAATTGCTCTGGGCCAATCAAATGAATTCTTAAAAGTTATGTTTTAAATCCTATTCTTGGAAGATGCTCGGAAAACTGTAGCCCTTTCTGGTAAGTGCCTAACCTGCCGCGAGAAATATGAATACCTATAATGTAACGATGGGGCATGAGCGCTGTGGAGTAACGCTATGGTACTGGTAGTGATGCATACAATTTGCCCAGCAATTCAGCCAAGCGAATTATTCACTTGATGTTCAAATACCGCTTATGGCCAGGAATTATATATTTAGATAGATATTTAACTGAAGAATTTGGGGAATGTACAAATTTTAACAAGATGTAAAAGACGAACTCTTTACTATATACAAATGGCCAGGCGATGTAAAATAATGAGGTATTCTAACGTTCTGGCGATATTTATTATAATCCTGGACCAGTTAGTAAAATGGTTCCAAAGCCAGTCAATCTGAAGTACAACTTATCTAAAGAAAGCAGTATATCAACAATAATATCGGCCCTAAGAACTGCGCCCTGCAAAGTTTCGACGACAGGCATGTGCGGCGAATCTAATTTATGTGTACGACCAGGATTGCACGGCAAGAAAGACAGCTTCTAAATCGCTAAGGAATGTTAATCCCCGTTTACATGAAAATTTCATTTGATCAAATGCATTTGATCAAAAGCTAGCATGCTAGCTTTGTTCAAATTCATTTGTCACAATATATTTGTCACAAATTTATCATCTACACGAACAAAATATCTTTGACATATGAATTTGTCAAATAAAATTTGCTCGTGTAAACGCGGCTTTAGTATAGGTCATCTCCATGTCCGATCAATAAACAATTAAACGAACTTTATTCAGATAAGCGAATTAGTAGCTGATAATGATTGGGACATACTTACAGCGAGTGAAACTTGACTGAAATCAACGCTGAGTAATGCGGACGTCAACATGTCAGCAGGGGCGTAGCTAAGGGGGGTGGGGGCAAAATGTTGTTGCAGTTGTCGGCAAAATGAATTGGATCAAGCCAATAGGCAATACCTGATTGGAGAGAGATTGTTTGTAGAAAATTTGTAGAAAATGTGAGATCGAAAAGATGGATATGTCGACTGAAAGCTCGGCCCTTTTCCGAACATTCAGCCAAATTGGCCAAGCACTTATTACGCTAATACGCTATTTAATAGTATTATATTATTATTTTCTTGCAATTTTGTGAAATATGATACCATAGGAAACTCGAAGCACATGTGCGTATTGACTGTTGATGCGTCTGCGCTTCATTTCATAATTTTGTAAAACCAGTAAAAGTCTTAGAAATTACACCTAACGGTCTTAATCTTATATACAATGAGAAATACGAAGATGATTTAAAAGTACGGACAGTAGCAAGCAAAAACGCGAACAGAAGAGAGAGAAACTGACGTGTTTAGTTTGTAATTGGTCGTTTGATGACGATTGGATGTGCTTTTTTGAAATTTATACCATGCATGTATTTTAAGGAACTATTTCGCCTATTTTAAAAATAAATTATCTTACTACTCGGTTTTCATTGTTGCACATCACATTGTTGCACAGCACACGTTTTGATCACGCCCTAACAACGTGCTAGCCACGCCCTTTTGTCGGCAAAAAGTTGTCTTGCACCCCCCCCAAAGGATAGTCTTCGCTCCGCCCCTGCATGTCAGGTCACAAACTATTTCGTTTGGAACAATTTAACAATGCTAATTCCTTGCGGTATTGGGCCTGCATGCACCAGTTAAATTGATGTCATTTTAAACACCGTACAAGTTCCTTCATATTTCCTGAAATAAGAGGTAAAATAAAAGTGAGAGACTGTCTTTTACGAAAAGCAAGGACATCGCAGTGTCATACTGACTGGGATCTTTACAAAGAGACACAGACCGAAATTGAAAGAACCGAGGCAGAAAAATTGTTAGCCGATAATCAAGTTATGCACAATAAGCACAATAGTCATGTATTTGTAAAACTATTCGGCGGTACACATCAAATAAACCGGAGGAATTAATAGAATCGGCAAATCCAAAAAAATTACCAATGAGCTCAATTCATATTTTGCTTTGGTAGGAAATTCTACGGTTGGCTTAATTATGGACTCAAGTATATCTTTTGATGAACACATCAAGCAATCGGTATCATCTTGTATGAAGAAACTGGATCAATAAATAGAATCAAACTTATTTAAAGGCAATCGACTCTGGAAATGATAATGGAAAGTTACGTCTTTTCATATCTGTTTTATTGTTTCCTGTTTGGTCCTCAACGAGGCAGAAGAACATTGGTAAACTTAAAAAAGTGGAAAATTTGCTGTGCATTCATGATGATAAGATTTCGTAAATACGACCATAATATGTCACCACCTGCATTAAAGCAACTGAAATAACTTCCCGTAGAGAACATTTTGTATCTCCGGGATCGGATTGCGTTATGACGTATAAATGAACGAACGTGAGTTATAGCACCCGATTATTTATGCCAAAAATTTGTTACTCGTTGTGAGATTAACAATCACGTAACATGGCAGAGTAAACAACTACATAAAATTGTCTGTAGGACTTCTAAAGCTCAGAATTTTTTTACAGGGCTTTTCACAATTGGAATAACCTTGACGGCTCACTAAAATCTAAATTAATTGAACCATTTTTTGGCCTAAACCTGGTAAGCTTGAATGTTCTGTAACTTGCTAACTAAGCTCAGATGCTTTCAAATCTAATTGAAACATTCTAGGTGTAAATTTCCAAAGCCTATATAGCAGGAACTCTGCTTTAATTTTACCTCATAATAAATTACTATTGCTGAGCTATAATTAATTAATGATAAATTTTGATGGGTTATACAGTAATTATTAGTAGGAATTATTGCACTGATTTTTTGCCTTTTTATAGCGAACCATTCATTTTAAGCCAGCACTGATTGATTGGTTATGATAATAGGTAATAGTAAGTTGTAGTTATTGGTTAAAATTATTGAATGATAGCTGTTAATGTTCAATGAACCGTCAAAAATTATAGGTTGATATGCGTATTGTGAAGACTGGATGGCTATAATGATGCACAGACTAAAATGATTGATAAACCATTATTTACAACTTATGTTATGATTAAAAATTGCGGTTGGGATATAATGATTGGATAGCAATTCATGTTATGATGGCTCCAGGCCATCAGTAATGATTGATTGAATTTAATAATAAATGAGCTGCAATGTCTACAATGATTGATAGGCTTTATAGAATATTTCTTGAAGCCATAAAAATTGGTTGACTACAAAGATTGATAAGCTAGAACAATGACTTATTCAGCAGTTTCACAATTAATTTGCAGAAAGCTTATCAGACATTTTGTCAAAATCAGAACCAGACCTGGGCACAACAAGCGAACTCGTAGGTACTAAAGTAAGGAACGACCTACAACCACCTACAACGACCTACAACCACCTACAACGATGCTACAACGATCTACAACCACCTACAACCACCTACAACGATGCTACAACGATCTACAACCACCTACAACCACCTACAACGACGCTACAACGATCTACAACGATGCTACAACCACCTATAACGACGCTACAACCACCTACAACGACGCTACAACCACCTACAACGACCCTATAGCAATCATACAACGACCCGGCTCGTATGTATTAAATATTTTCCGAAATTTTAGTATATTTAATGGCTGTGAAGCAGCATGCCATGTCGCACGGTAAATTACAATTTGGCGCGAAGTGCCGAATTGTCCCGAAGTAAATGAAAATTTATAAATATGATCACTCAAAAGTCGTGATCGCCATAATCTGCGATCAGGCCTATATCACAGAGGAAGTACATACAGAGATCTCACTTCAGGTTAATTTCGCGTAAGGGTTTTTTTACATGCGGCTAAATCGAGGAATGCACATTTACATGCGGCTAAATCGAGGAATGCACATTTGCCCGACGCCATCTTGAATCGTTATTAACTGGGGACATCCGTGGTTATCTTCGTTATCTTATGCTAATAATGAATTAGTAAAATGGTTATCCATTAAAGTGCTCCTCTGATCCCTTGTCTACATCCGTAGCTTATTTCTATTGTCACCTGGGTTGTAAACACGCAATAAAAAGTTTTCTCTATTAAATTGACTAGAGATATTTACTATGAAAAGATGCTGATTTTTATGGCGAATTCAATGATGTTCTCCGATTTTCCATCTACTCTATAGTACACAAATTCCTATAGTAGGGTAAAGACTCGAGTTTTATTGTATTAAAGGGCGAATATCTCGGTTCAATTTTTGAATGAAAAAGGAAAACTAGGGCTGTTGATACAGAATTTCATGCACAATCGAAGGGTATTTTCGGAATTTCCATCTATTGTGCACACAACTATGTGCTCACTATACGAAAGTAAATTTGCGTGCCAGAGACTAAGTGTCAATTAATGCATACAAATCACTGTGAAAAATGTCGATACGCGAAATGCTGTTATTTTGTACTTTCGATCGGTTTATTTTCCTTTATATGAAATCAAAAGCTAAAATAAGTCATTATAATATGATTATTTATGATTTAAAAGAATCAAAAGTGTATTTATTGTGATTTTTGCTGCTGTAAACTAGCTTTATTTATATACATAACAATCCAGTATTTAGGCATGTGCGAGCGACAATTATCCAATCAGAATCCAATATTTTCATTTTCCGCGAATACGTTTGTTTTGATTACATCAGTTAAGATTGGGGTTTTTATGGATACCATTAATGTAATTTGTGGATAATTTAAATATTGAAGTCAAAGTTGTCAGAACTGGTTTGTATCGGTTTGTATTTTGCATGTATACTTCCGGTATTGTTAACCAAGGCAGAACCGAAACACTCAACAGAAAAAAACTAAGGGAAACTTAATTTTTCTTTCAATATAGAGTATTGCTAATTTAGAATTTTTTTGTGCTCGATATTTTTTTTTTTGCTGGTGTTAGTGATGTTCGATTTTTTTTCTTCCATTCGAGACATGCTCGATATTTTTTTCGGATTTGCGCCCCCCCTCCCATGAAAAATCAAATGGTCCGTCCCTTAGCAAGTGCCCTAAAGAGAGGCAGTCACCCCCCTGAAAACATATTGAAAATTTAATATTCCATGGGGGTGAATGCCTCTCACTTGCTAAGAACATGGCCGCCAGCTATTTCGGTAAAAAAGCGCCTTACGGTTTTGTAATGGAAGTTACACTTCTGTATGTCTTTATTCTGTGCCTATATATAGGATAATGCATTAGCCTGCGAACAGGCCTGTTCGCAGGCTAGATAATGCATGAGCTCCGAGGCCTTCTTAAAAATAATGACCGAGCGAGGAGTTCGTGCATTATCCAATTTAATGCATATTTTCATTGTTTTTTGTTCTATCTCAGTGAGATAGAACAGCAGGTTATTATTAGGGTCATTGAGGCAGAAAAGGAGGTTATTATTTTAAGAATAATGACCTCCAGTTCCACTTGATTGACCGCAATAATGAATTGCTACTGACCGTTGTAGTCGCTTATTAAAAATAAGAACCTGTTCAAAACAATGAAAATATGCATTAAAAATAAATAAATAGGCCTGAAACGTATTTCGATTGTAAATCTGATTTGTCTATGAGAAAAAAGATTTTTTAATCTGTCATTTGATTGGTTGGTGCGCATTGCCCCAGTACCTGAGTGCTGATATTGACAGAGTACAAAAGAGAGCGTTTTCAATCATTGACCCAAGTAAAACCTATGATGCTAATATGGGCCAATCGGCGGTTTAACCACCTTACATAACAGACGTCAGGAACTCTGCGATAACCAGTTTGAAAGAATCTCAGTACTCTCGCACAAACTCTTCAGTCTTTTACCGCCAAGACATGGCCCCAATCTAAATCTTCGTAAGTACCATGAGTATGATCTTCCACGAATTCACACGGACAGATGCAGACACTCCTTCATCCCAGCAATGTTTGCGAAAAAGTTTTTAAAGACGTAATTTTAACATTTAACTTACAACTCTAAGACCTAATTTTAACTTTTTTTAGTTCCTAGTTTGAGTATTCTTATTGTAATATATATTAATCATTACATAGTTTAACTTTTGACATTTCCAACACATGTAATATTCAAATTACGCAATTCAGCCGGTGGCTACTATGTAATTTTTTTTAAATAAACTATCTATCTATCTATCTATCTATCTATCTATATCTATCTATCTATCTATCTAGATATCTAGATTATACTATTCTTGTTGGTATATTTTACTACTTAGATTGTTGTTGTCGTTGTGTGAAATTTAAATTTCTCCTGCGACAGTTTGAATATAAACTTTGCTCAGGCTATTACAAGTTTGTAAAATAGAACCTGATACTTAGGTTATGATCGCCATGCATCGCGACGTTCAACATAGGTCGTTGTAAGTCGTTGTAGGGTCGCTATGTAAATCATTGTAGGGACGTTGTAGGTCGTTGCAGGGCCGTGGTAGATCTTTGTAGATCGTTGTAGGGTCGTTGTAGATAGTTGTAGGGTCGTTGTAGATAGTTGTAGGCTCGTTGTAGGTGGTTGTAGATCGTTGTAGGCTCGTTGTAGGTGGTTGTAGGTGGTTGTAGGTGGTTGTAGATCGTTGTAGGTGGTTGTAGGTGGTTGTAGGTCGTTGTAGGTGGTTGTAGGTCGTTCCTTACTTTAGTACTTACGCAAGCGAACTACGTACGCCGGTATGTTATAAACAATACGGAAACTTTTGGTGTATGTAGAGTCAAACAACAGTGCATTCTCAAGGATTTAAAATTTCATTAATTTTGATGATTTAATTATTATGATGATTAATAGGATTTAATAAATTAAAAGATTGTAATAATTCACAAACTGTAATAGTTGACGTCAACCTTATGGATATTTGTAACCCATTGAGCGCCCTTGACGTGTGTAATTGTCTGGCGTTAGACAGAGAAAAACAATAAATTAGATTGAATTATAGGGCAATGCAACTTTATGAAAGTTTATACATGCAAACTCCTCACTACGAATATCGAGAGCAAATCTATACAGTCAATATATACCAATTGCCTGTGTTGCGTACGAGTGCAAATCTATACATTGAGAGTGCAAAAGTACGCAAGGATAGCGACCGGAAGGGATATGGGTCTGTAAACCACCCCCAACTGTGTAACTCATGTCAGGTAAAATTCAAGTTTTAATTTTAAAATTTTCAACTAAAATTTGGAGTATGGTCCAATACCACGATACGACACGGATCGTGGATTTGGTAACTACATTGTGCAGATGGTGAATTGGTTCACTGATGGTGAATTGGTTTCACGATCCGTAAACCATATGGACGATCTGTGCAGATGGTGAATTGGTTGATGGATGGTGGAAGGGGTTCGGTGAATGGTGCACATGGTGCCAGAGGGTAGACCCCAAAACACTGACGATCCGTGCGGATGGTGCGCATGGTGAATTGGTTGACGGATGGTGGAAGAGGTTTCACGATCCGTGAATGGTGCACATGGTGCCAGAGGGTAGACCCCAAAACACTGACGATCCGTGCAGATGGTGCGCATGGTGAATTGGTTGACGGATGGTGGAAGGGGTTTCACGATCCGTGAATGGTGCACATGGTGCCAGAGGGTAGACCCCAAAACACTGACGATCCGTGCGGATGGTGCGCATGGTGAATTGGTTGACGGATGGTGGAAGGGGTTTCACGATCCGTGAATGTGCACATGGTGCCAGAGGGTAGACCCCAAAGCACTGACGATCCGTGCGGATGGTGCGCATGGTGAATTGGTTGACGGATGTTGGAAGTGGTTTCACGATCCGTGAATGTGCACATGGTGCCAGAGGGTAGACCCCAAAGCACTGACGATCCGTGCAGATGGTGCGCATGGTGAATTGGTTGACGGATGTTGGAAGTGTTTTCACGATCCGTGAATGGTGCACATGGTGCCAGAGGGTAGACCCCAAAGCACTGACGATCCGTGCAGATGGTGCGCATGGTGAATTGGTTGACGGATGGTGGAAGTGTTTTCACGATCCGTGAATGGTGCACATGGTGCCAGAGGGTAGACCCCAAAACACTGACGATCCGTGCAGATGGTGCGCATGGTGAATTGGTTGACGGATGGTGGAAGTGTTTTCACGATCCGTGAATGGTGCACATGGTGCCAGAGCGTAGACCCCAAAACACTGACGATCCGTGCAGATGGTCGCATGGTGAATTGGTTGATGGATGGTGGAAGAGGTTTCACGATCCGTCAATGGTGCACATGGTGCCAGAGGGTAGACCCCAAAACACTGACGATCCGTGGGGATGGTGCGCATGGTGAATTGGTTGACGGATGGTGAAAGTTGTTTCACCATCTGTGAATGGTACACATGGTGGCACAGGGTGAAATATGGGTAAAAGTGTAGACGGTTGGTAGTACTTTTTGTTGAAAATGAGTGGAGACAAAAATATTTACATACACATGTGTTTTGTTATCTGCGTTTTTATGGCGACATTAACTTTCGCGTATAATTTATGCAGAGTATTTGTTGACCTAGTAGACACTTAACTGTGACGATGGTAATTACGATAACTACTATTGTGGTTTGTTGGCAGAGAATACAAATTTAAAATACATAATTTTAATTTGATCGTACCTGCTCTGGTAAACTTTATAAATATTGAGAGCATTCAACGAATTATCCAATTTGCACGTTGAGAATAAATATTTGTTTGTATTTGTGTATTCTTAAATGATGAATGTCCATTGCACTGCACCGAGTGGGCATGTTTATTTATATATACAACTTTCGTTCTCACAAAGACACATTACCGGTAGAAGTATTTTTTCCTTGGTTTGTGGAGAATGGATATCAAACTGACAAATCAAACTCGGATCAAAATTATTTGGCGATCGTGCGATTAAACATTTGAAATATGGGTATCCTAAGAGCTCCGTCACACGTGTAGTTTGACATTAGCAGCCCTTCTGAAACACTTTAATGAAAGTATAGTTCACAAAATTCATATTTTCACTTACCTCTTAACATCTGTTTTAATGCAACTAGCTCTGTAGGCACGAGCAAAATCTAGTGTTGATGTAAATATCCATTTAGTTCATGTTTCCCCGGTGAAAATATAGTCTATTCCAAAGCTGATTTCGACGTACTTTAGCTTTTCAGAAACCGCTGGCCTTCTTCAGTGAGATTATCAACTGTTTCAGAAACATATTTGATCGTAAACAGCTAAAATATTCTCCTAAAGTCTATATTTTTGTTCTTCGACGCGAAAATGGCAACTCAA